GTTGGATAATAAGAAACAGATGAAATCAGTGCAGTTGTGGGCAAAGCTGGTTCAGCATCTAGAAGCTTTCGGTAAACGACTTTTCTTTTTGTCTACAAAACAGTTAAAATTGTAAATGTTGACAGGAAAATGTTTATTTATTTATTTGATTTCATTTTGCATTTTGGTCTATTGGTGTTTCTTGTTTTTGTAGTACAGAGTAAAAAACAAATAAAATAAAAATTTGATTGATAAAGTGAGCATAGACTGAAACAAAATAAACAAAAAAATCAAACTTTTTTAAAAAATTTTTACATAACTTTTACCGGTTGCTACCAGTAGAAGCAGTTACGTGCTTAATCTATTTCAAAAAGAACAGAGCATAAAACTTGCTTAAGAAATTTAAAAAATCTTCAAATTTCTTCTTTTTTTTAAGATTATAAAATTATGTGTTTGGGAAAACATATTGGAAATTAAGGTCTGAATTAATTGCAAAATAAGTTGAAAAAAAAAAACAGCTTCTTTCTTTTTTGATTCATTTTTTTCACAGTTTTTTACTGTATTTGTGTTCGCACAGTTTCTCAATAATAGATTTTTGAAAATTGACTGCAGCACTGTTAAAATGTTACACGTGATCTGTTGATATCGTTGAAATCGTATCACATAAGCGACAGTTAACAACTGTTTTCGTTTTCAATGATTAGTTTACAGTTTTTTGAAAGATACAGTCGGAAATTGGCTTTATAAGGACGATTAGCTCAGTCCAATATAAAAAAACCAAAAAAACTGCTAAAATTATTGAATAGACGAAGTAAAAAAACAAAACAAAATTTGGTTCAAAGTTAGATACTGATTTATAGGCCAGAAACAGTTTGCTTTTCGTGAACGGTAAATTGGTACAGTCAAAAGTATTTTGCTGTTAATTCTCTCTCTCGTCTGCAACTTAAACTCTGTTTGTCTTTGCCTTGTTCAATGTATTATGATTTAAAAATTCGCTGAGCACCGCATTCTGATATACTGTAAAATAATTTCTAAATGTTGTCCTGAAACTGTCATTTCTGTCATAAAGTTTAAACAGAAGTACTTTTAATCTTATTCCGAAATTATTTTCTGATCAAATCAACTTTATGACCGTAAAAATAGGTTTAAAACACTCAGAAAAAATTAACATGGGTAAAGTGTGAACTGTTGAAGTTGTTAGCTACTGCTATTAAAACAGCAGTTTCAGTACACCAAAAGTTTATTTATTTATTTATTTATATATTTTTTTTGATGACATCACTGGCTTTAGAATACTTTCTGCTTGAAAATATGCAAATGATACAGTCAAGTATTCAATATTGTTTCGATAAAACTATTAAATGAGTTTATGTAAAGGTTCTTAGAGTAATAGAAAACGTATAGATAATTGATAAAATATTAAAAGAGCATTAGCAAAGCATAATGTCTGCCTGATTTTCCAGCTATTAGAGTCAGAAATTTGTCAAGACTCTAAGGCAAGGTATATTCTTACATAACTGTATGTTAGTAATGAATTTTAACCAAAAATAGCTGCAAATCTGCGCTAGAACTTTTTTATTTTTTTTTTTGCTATATTTCATACTAGTTTTTCATGTAAAACAAATTTGAAGTTGTCTAGATAAAAAAGTTTAACATTTAAAAAACAATGCAAAATTTAATCATCTTATTTAGTGAAGACCGTCTGAAGGGTGACGGAGTTGATATTTTTTATAAATGGCTAGTTTGTTAACAAAATTTAAGTGTCAAATATAGGAAAAAAACCACTACTCTTATAAAATTACGTTTTTTTTTCTTTTAAAAGTTCGTTTTACTAAATCATTTGTGTCAATTACCGAGCACTAAATTTACACAAAATGTTCGGTCTTTTCTACAATCAAAGAATTGAAAAAAAATTTTTATTGCATTTTTTTGCTTTTGATTTTTGACAATACTCAGTGGTTAAATTATGAGCAGTTCTAAGCAAATTGTTTGTTTTTTTTTTTT